CGATAGTATTTTATTTCACAATCACAGCACCATGACCAATATTTATATATCATATATATGATGTATTTAGATAGTGACCAAGCAATTTAAAAGTTAATGTAAATACATGCTTGTTTACATTGCTATCCGTTCGGTTAAACTCGTAACCGAATATGTCAGTCCTTTATTACCTTTCTGTACATATCGCGCGAGGTTGTGAGAAAGTACCTAATACTATTTGATTTTTATTGGTTAAGTGTATTCTTGACAAAATGAGATTCGACAAATTGTATTCTAGTGGAATTGTATTGCATAATAAGTGTGTTAAGTGTAAATTAACAATATGATAATTGCCTTCTATTCACTGAGGAATATGTGCTTATACACCGGGTACTAATTTCATCAGTATACAAAAAATGTACCAGAAAGTATGGAAGTTTTTTTGATAGGACATGAAAAGTATTTTTTGTTGATGTACGCTTATATTGTTTTAGTAGAAACATCATGTGAAAATGAGAAAAATCGAACCATACACTCTATGGAGAATTATACACTTTCGGGATACCACTAAGTGGATTTATTTCGGCACGTTACCCTTTTGACTAACCCCTTATTGCGAAAGTGCTACTTTCCCCTTTATTTCCCGTCAGTCAGTGCAACAAAGGTTTTGAGGATTTTAATATAATCCGTTTGATACCATATTTAAGTAAGGTTTACACATTTCGTGCACATGAGTTCAGTTTTATTCATATAGAGGTTGTGGCGAGGTGCTCACTCTTGGGTAACTACACGACCAGTAACTTCCACTACAACAAAAGGTCGACTGTCAGTCGATATTTAATCCAGAATTAATATATATTAATGTTTGTAAATGTGCCTAGGTTCAAAAGATTTACAGTTGATACATGTGTGTGAGAATACGAGTAATACTAATCCAAAGGTATCTTAGAGAAGACTTACAACACTGTCAGACATGCCACACTTTTGTCTGGGCAGCTTAACATTCAAACAAGACGAATATCCTCCGGAACTTATCAAATGTAGTTCAGAGTATTATTGAGTACACTTCAGCAGATTCAGGTAATACAATCATTGTTACATTCAGCATATTTGCGATATTGTACCCACAAATCGTACTATACCTGCAAATTCAGGTATATACTTTATCTAGATGTGATACATAAATTATCAATAACGATGTTTTACCAATAAATTTTGACTAAATATGTTCACCATGTGTTTTCGTCCAAACAAGATAATAATTGACTTATTTTCAATGTGAAACATACCCACATTGTATTTTGACGACGAAGTTGCTAGGATCTTAATTTGTGAATGGGATAACCACCGTTATATTGGCAATAATTAATAGCAAAATATAGCAAAAATAAGATATATTTATCATTATACATGTAAGAGAACTATGATTTACATAAACACTCAATTCGTTTTAGATCAAATATCATTTGACGTTGTTTATAGCTACCATTGAGATGTTCAATACAATATTTCAGATGTTCATTAAAACATCCTATATGTTTGGTACAACACTCTGAATGTTCATGTGAATAATAATATGATAAAAAAAACGTTGTATCTACGCTGTAAGGTATTTAATTTGACGTTATAATCCCATATTGCATTTATATTGAGACGTCACAATCGATGTTGCAGCTTCAGTAACTAAAAGATTACTAATCTTCATTCTTACTGTTGTCATAAGCATGTTTAATTATTTTATTTGTTGTAATTTTTCTATTTTAAACTGATTAATTTTATAAAAGTAATTTTGCACAGTTAAAATTAATTTCACGTTTTAAATATCAATTCCCGCTCTTTGTAAACTGTGTAAATTTAAATCTTTTAACATATTTTACAAAAGTTCCTAATTATATTTTATCGATTAAATAAGTATATGAATACAACTGGTTTTATATATTCAAAAGAAAAAAGTTAGTGAGTCCTTAAAAAGGGGATCTTTTCAGAAATGATGTAGTTCGGACAATGGCAACATACATGAAGCGGACCAATGTCCAAAGCAAGTACTTACTACGTCAACCACTTGTACGTAATATCATTTGTTTGTTGCGTAAAAATGTTTTGTTTTCTTATTATGTTGAGTTCAATGTCATATCTTTGTACAGCATGACAATCCATAGTTCATATGCACGTAATAATATCACTCAATTTAAATGTGATATTGTAATTTTATTGAACGACTATATTAGGATATCCAGTATATTCATTTTCTGTCAAGAGGTGGACTTGACATTCTACTAGTCCATTTAACACTGAAATACTGTTTCTCTATGACTTCGTGAGTTTGGAAGCACAGGTAACCTATTACATTTCTCTACACACATTGTATCTAATATGTCACTGTTAGTCTTGCAGGACTGAAATTCTGCATCCTGATATACAGTATGTGTCTTCTATAGTCGCTGAACACTGAAACCCTATATTCCTAAGGATAAACACTACTTGTCACTTCCTTTAGCGTTTCATTGAGATAATGCGATGTTGTTGTGACATCGAATAATAAGAATGACCATCCCACTTATCCTTTAGAACTTGAACATTACAATACCGCATATCTATAAATAAATAACTATTTGATTCTATAGTAGTTGTTTTTATTATTATTATTTTGTATTCATACTAACATAACTGTTTATTTCAGCTATGCTTTACAGTTATATCGGTTGTTCTTTTGTAAGTCTCGAAAGAAGAAGTAATGACAGCTTACATTTTGACGCACATAAAGTATACATGTCAGCGATGCCTACTCTTCTGTATAGTCTGACACACGTTAATGTGCCCGGCCCTTACCAGCGTATCAGGGACCCGACACTTTGTAATCTGGCTGCTGGACTAGATAGCTACCACACATCCCGGGATCGATCTATTGGCCAGCCGTAATCCCCACTCGCACCTGCCGTGGTATAAGTAGCGGCTCCCTAATGCGCTGTAAATGGTGCTATAATTGGAGGTGGTCAAACAGAGAACTGATACACTATTGTCAGATATTCACGCGAGGTAATCAACAGTAGTATACATTCAAACATACTCACAAGTTAACAAGCCAGCTTTCACTGGAAAGTAAAGCTCGTTTATAAGGGTAAGTGTTCAAATTAGCGGTTCAAACGTCCTGGTGGTGTACTATTATCTTGTATTGTATTCCACGTTATGTTATCATGAACCACTGTGTTTGATAGAATGTTTCGATTTGTAGCATCCACGACCGATCATTTATTGGTTGGAACCAAACTCAAAAACCAATTGCACAACAGACATTTATTTTATATACTTCAATAATTGCAAAATTATTCCTGAAGTAATGTGGGATGCGAAATACTCTATCAACTTGTTTTCAACAATTGAAATGATTTGAACGTATTACTTATTGATATCAAGTATCTATTCCTTACCAGAAATATCCGTGTTCCATTCAGCATGTCATTACGGCTAGACAATATAGTGCATGTTATACAACTAAACACAAACACATCTTTTTTCAAGAGTTCAATACATAACGGTACATCCTGGCTACTAACACCATCACAAGTTAACGCCAAAACTATGTCCTTTGTAGAATGCTTTCTAGTGTTAACACTGTATATTAAATGTTACACAACTGATAGGCAATGTGTTGTATCTTTGAGCAAGATACTTTACCCCGCTTGTTCCAGTCTACCCAGCTGTAAATAAGTACGTGGTTGGGCAGTGCTAGAATTGTTTAATGCTAGCTGTTAGCGCCGAAATGGCAGCTCCGGCTGTATGCTCCCCAGGGAGTTGGGAAGTGTATTGGCTGGTTGCAAAGGCCCTATAACCACGGGTAATAATTTGTGAACCGCTTTGAGACGACCTATGAACTAGGCTGTGATAAAACGGTATATAAGAACCTCCAATTATTATTATTCATTATTATTATAGGGTGTGAAGGATTTAAAAATGAGATTTACTCCAAATATATTGTTATATGCACTTACCATGTAGTTGTTGTGTGTACTGTGATGTTTGCCATTTTGCAAATGTATGCATTGACTGTTCTTACGATGAAAGTTACTATCAAGTTAAAATATTTCTCATTATTTTCAATATTTGTTATATATACATTTGTTCATGTCCTTTTTTCTTGTCAAATGTATTACGTATAAAATGCATTTTACGCAATTACATTTGTTCGAAGTTTAAGGTTTTTAAAACAAAAAGAAATGCATGACCCTTTAACAATTTGGCTTTCTAGGATATAAGTACATAGTTAAAAGTAAAACCAAAAAAAACACTACTTTATTTTAAGTTCAATATATGAGGGAGAACACTCTACTTTGAATGAATAAAGAAAACAGTAACTGATACACAAAGATGACTCGTGCATTTGACCGATAACTTTCTCTTTCTTGATTTACCAGTACAAAAAGCGTTTATCTCACTGGACTTAAAAACCAACTATGTCGGTTATCAACCTTGTTGTGTAATGCTTTGACGATTCTATAATCGTTTCTGACCACTCTGTGTGTATGTATGATAACATGGCCTCGATATTTATTGCTTTAAATAAGGATAAACAATAGTCTACAGATGTATTTCGTTGTTATTCTTTCTTTAACAAATGATTGTTTCTCTCTTTGTGTGAAGATAAAGAAGTATATGAAATACAATTTTACAGGAGCGTTAACACGGGTACAACATACAAGGTGTAGCTTGTGTGATAAATGCACTCACATTAAAAACTTGAGCGATTCATTTTTAACAGGACTTGAACACGATCCAGTTTTAAGAACTCTGACTGGAAGCTCTTTGTAAAACATATCAATTCATCATATGTAAAGCATCGTCTTGGTATGAATTCACTAAGCAGACCTACTTTTAAAGGTAAACCTATTAACGGGACCAGTTGTGTTCATCAGAGAATCATCAAATGTATGCTCTGCACGTTTATGTATATGTTATAAAGTAAGCCTTCTGTGTTATATCGTATGTGTCTGCATGTTAATGTCCTGTGTGGGGTTCGGGTGACATGCATCCCTATGTAAGCGTTGTGTATGGCCCAGGTGATCAAGAGCGCGTTGTACATGTTTATGCTACTTTTGGGAACATTAAATCTTACTTGCGCATGAATTATGTAGAGGAATCAATGTGCATGCAGCACGCGGAGAGCTGGTGTAACAGGATTTGACGTTGTAGGGATAGGACATGCCCGGTAACTCACCTTCCATCAAACACGTATACAAGTAGCACTGGCACGAAACATACCAATGTGGGCAACTTGGGTATTCCATGGCTCCACCGTAGGGCCTGCAGGCTGGATGTATTAGCGTCATGTGAAATGTTCCTGCTGATAAATAATATCGGTATAGTTAATTATCGCACTGATCAATACGAAGATTGCTTTGTGATAAAGAGGCAATGTGGACCACTTCTTTTCATAGAGAATTAAGTCTGGAATACCGTAGATACTAGAGTCTCATAAGGCCAGTGTACTAATGGTAACTCTGTGTAGCTTTTGATATGGAGATGCACTCTATCGTTACCTGTTTGTATGTTGTTCTCTGGAACTAGCGTTATCTGTTTTGAACAGATATGTTTTGTTAATTACTGAGGATTGATTCACATAGAAATGAATTCCTGGTTTATACAGATTTCCAGATTGTGCATAGATCGGCTCTGAAAGGTAACTTAGTATTAATGAAAAAAAAGTAGGTGGGATTTATTTCTCAAACAAGGAAATCCAAAAATTTACAAACTTCGTGTTTGAGTCCAAGTATTCGACACGCTATTGACAAGCCCTTCTATCCTGTCAAGTGACTAGTATTGTTGGGCAGACGGCCTCGGTTACCGTATCTGAATGCTTTAAGTATGTCGATGGATTAGGCAAGCATGCCTCAAACAGAACACGTATTTAGTTCAATTCAAATATACCTGATGTGATCAAAGACGGATTTCGTTGAGAAGGATACTCCGTTTTATTTCGATTGTCTTTAATCAAGGTAGGTTTTCTATATCAAATAATTACATTTGAAATGGATGTATTTATTGGCATACATTGTATGCTCAATATAACCATGTTTTATTGAAGATATATTTGTAAGCATGACGGCCACATCTCTCACGATATAAAAGCGGATTCGATTAGTTTATGCTGTATATATTTTTCTCTGATCTTTCTAACAGCTCATTAATTTCAACAAGTAATAAATGAAGTTCGCCTGCTTTTGCTGTCTCAAAATAATAGCGTACTGTTTCAGATCCTACTTAATCTGCCGAAGAAATTCTTAGTTGTTTTCATATTTGAATTGTTCCCTCTATTCCATCAGAACATGAATGCTAGAGCAGATATGGAGAATGTAGTATTAACATGACTGTACTTATCTCTCATCAGAAACTAATTACTTGTCATCTACATGTGAAGATATTAAATATTTTATGACTAGTTAGCATGCTATAACCTAGGATACCCAAATTACTTCCATATCTGATCAGATGTCCGGAAAATCACATACAGGAGGAACTTTGAATTAAATAAAATGAATTATATTTTAACAGACTATCAGTTCTTAAACTCTAACCAAGAGGCATATCATTTATAACTTTTACTTGTTTAATCATGCAAATGGTTAAACATTTTTCGAGTGCGTCATATTTTCATACCAATTAACGAAGTGCTTTTGAATATATATCAACGCACATCAATGTTTCTATCACCGGCTTATACCGTGTTGAGTACAAACAGGGGCTAGAAAACGGCCGAGTACGCTTGTACCATACAGCATTGGACACCAATCTCTACCACACATTCATAAATCATACTACACCATCATCGAGCCAATTATCGCACAGACAATGCGGCTTTCATTGATTTCCTTTCACGATAATATTGACACTGCACTTAAAATTAATCTAAATCGAATTATCAGACCCGCCGGTGATTTCTTGCTTAGCTTTGATTTCCATGGATGGTATTTCTGTCATTTTGAGCCTGCATATGACGTCATATCGCGGTCGATTGATTATAAGGCAGAGGTGAATATTACAGTTCGATGTATGTTTACAACGCAGCTATTATTTATTCAGATGAAAAGTTTATATTTTTATTGATTTGTTCAACAGTATGTCAAACATTAAAACAGCAATAATGTACGGATATACCCATAGCGAGAAACCATGCTTTTATAAATCATGGATTAAAAATGTATATACCATTGTTATATTTACCATTGGCCCACTTCTAAATGGAAAATACCGGGGACAATGATAGAAAAGTACATCGTACCCAATCGTTTGTATTGATGTCAGTCACGGCCGACCAATCAAAGACGTGTACTGATTCCCGTTTGGGCTAGGATAGACGACTCTTGTCAGGAATAATTCTTTCACTGATCAGCCGCCGCCCACCTGTCATTGCATCGTCATCAACATTGCAACTTCTGCAGCTATTTTTTATATATCGAATCATAATATGTCGTGGAAGCAAATCGACAACATAGTTCCTCCTTCATTTTAATGTGCTGTACCCAAGCATGCGGCCACGAAAGCACAGGATTTAAGACTTATTGTTTACCGCTTCTGATATATTAAAATATAAAAACAGCCGACGCATTAGTTAATCAATGGTGTTGAAATTAATCCATACACTTAAGTTAAAGAAAAGGAAAAATTAAAACAGATTTAAGAAAAAGGAACTGGGAATTACGGTCTCTGCTCAATGTCAATAGACAATACTAAACAAATGTTTTATCTCTTTTTTTTAAATATCTGTACCAATTCTAAGCAACTGATCTTAAAACAGAAAAATCAGAAACGTATATTTTACATACATTGCTTTTGATTAGCAAGTATGAAATTGTTCTGTAGTAGGAATGTCCCTGGTATCAGAGCAATAAGTCAATTATCCGTAATTTTTAAGAGGACAGACAAGATGTTAAAATATGTTTACATTGTGAAATTGAAAACAGCTTCACCAACCCGTAATTTGGAATATTTTGGCACAATAGTTGTTTTCCTTTTCATTCTATGCGTCAGCGTTGCTTAAGATCTTGCAATTTTGGTGTCGTTGCCAGCTAGACATATTCATTTGTGAGCGAAAAAATACATGTTTTATAAGGTCTGCTTAGACGAAGATAAATGCAAAAACGTTATTTCAATGCACATTTGAAACATTGTGATACCAGTTATAGGTATACACATTATATGTGCCACTCTACCTACGTAAACTAGTTGATAGTCTTTTTATCTCTGTGTATGCAATCCATATGGTAGACGTGATATATAAATATTTAGTGTGAATGCTTATCTGCTATTTACGCAATTTATACCATTAAATAAAAAGTGATATTTATATCAAATTCACATATTTATACATAATTCTCCCGTTGATAATATAACACTTTAGTTTCGTTTCACGCCGTTAAACCTTGATATGTTCATGTTTCTCTAGTATGATATTGTCCGGGGCTATTCAGGCTAGATTCAATAATCAAGCTCACCGATGTCACAAAATATCCTGTTTTGTATCGCTCATATTGATAATAAACATTAACGTGATCAATATATCTAAACACGTGAATAATCTCTTGTATACACATGCATTAGAGGATTTAAACCTCGGCATAAATATGCTTACTATGTTATATCAATTGTCTAGCTGTTCGTAGTACAGTAGATTATTCAATATTTTGTCTTTTATAAACAGCAATCAAGCTCAACGTGGATTTTGAACGATAGTCATATGTTTCAATCGCTGAAAAATAAAACGGCTATAAGTGGTCTTTTTATTAACAAAGTTCGTATATAATTCCAGGGGTGTGAAGACTAGGCCAGAGTCGGTGTTGGATATAATTGAACATATTTTGATTATCTAACTGATGACACAGACCATCGTATGTCTAGTTAGTAACGAGAGCTATGGCTAAGCAATCCAATCAGTATCGACCAGTTATACATTATTGATGATTTCTATCTGACCGTTTGACCGTCACTACATACATAGGGCAGGGGAATAACACCCTATATAACGCACGGTGAACTGGTTATGTTCAGAGCTCTAATCTGTATCTAGTATATGCTAATAAATGTGACACACCTACGACAAAGCAAAGAGGAACAGACATGTTTGTTGATTTAACCTCTATCACTAGTCCGTTGTTACCACAGTTATGTATGACAAAGGCTAAAGAATGAGCTCGTTGACCTGTATTGTATCATGAAAGAGCATCCATATTTGAACATGATACATGAACAAGGCCTGTCAGAGAATTACCACTACACTTTTTTATTACACTAGCTGTGATATATATTTTTTCCCAATAAAAAAAGGAATTTCCAGTTGCATTTCCAGTATGACAGTATAAAATGCCCTTACATTATCACACTGCTTACCAGTGCTTTATCGATATAGAATACGTATAAGTATTTAGACAACGAAGTACTAACGTTGTAATAGAGACTTCTCTTACTGTTCCTTTATTAATCCCGCATTGACAAAAGACGTTTCTACATGTAGCAATGCACCTTGTGTTGCATAAGTCACGCAACATCTGTATTGTACAACTCTTAACTTGACATTGTAATGCATGGGTCGCTTGAAAAACAAAGCTTCATTGTGCAGTTTGACTATACTGCCTCAGTTGTATGGCCTCACAACAATTAGTACATCCCGAAAATGTAAATGGGGTCCACAATTGTATATACTTTCAGTCTCTTTAAGGTATGTCTTTAATCGTTTTTGGACATGTTAACGTATGAATATGTACGAAGCTAACCGGTCTTTACTAGACACCAGACGGCCCTTGCCATATAAGTCACAACGAAATATATACCTGATTAAGTTATCAAAACCTACATCATCAATCTGAATCAATAGCTTATTTATAATTAAAAACCCAGAGGTAATAGGCTTTCCTCTCAATCACATCAAAAGCTCAGCGTACACAGATAAATAATGCACGCTTTGTTGTTTATGAACGAGGTAACATCGGTCATATATGCATAAGTTACATGGGATTGATATTTATAACTAGACTGTGGAATATTAGATCAGACCAAGACTGCTGAGGCAGCTCATCACTACCGACAGCTCTTAAAACAACTGTCCCCGAGCATGGCAGTGAACATAAGGCAGAGTTCCCTTGAACTCAATAGTTCGAAAGTTATCAAAAGGCAATCCTCAACATATTCGCAGTCTATTGGTACCCAAAAGAAACAGTTAGTTGTATCAAAGTCTTTGAATGATATGAATTCTGAAAATGCCAGTGTCAAGCGACAGGACGTTAGGAGACAACATTCGACTGGTAGCATATCGGGATCATCCAGCCGGAAACAGGATGCTAAGGAAACCCCGACATCAACTTCCCGTCATCTTCGGAAAGGTTCATACACTCTACAGACTGAGAGAAAACATCCAGATATACTCACCTGTCGTGTTTGTCAATTTCAGATGACCATCAACTCACAAAGGTTGTTTGAGATTCAGGAACGTCTGGAGAAGCTACTGACAGAGAAGAAAGTTCTCAACTCCAAGATAGTGGCTGATTCTTTCAAGAATTTCCAGGTACAGGTTACAAAGGTAAGCATAAAGATAACATTGATTTCTAAACAATACATCATTTTTCTATCAGATTGTGCATTTTGAGAAAACATTTGCTCGTATTTGTTTTCTATAAATTTTAATTTTGTCAGTTTCGTAAAAAAAAAAAATCGATTTATGCTTCCTTAATATATTTTGTAGGATTTGAAGCTGCATGTTCTTTATTCTTATGTGTCTGTGTAATACAAATATTGAGAACGCGTTTGTTAGACTCTCACAATGACTTTATCCGAGAGTTAGGCTTTCATTACGTGTTTAGCCGGGAGATAAACTCTTATCTAGTGTAAATCCGATAGATAAACTCTAATCAGGTTTTAATCTGAACCGATAGAAACTCTCTCATCACGTGTTAACCTGAGATATAGACTATCCTCGTGTATCAACGGGACATATAGACTCTCATCGTGTATCAACGGGAGATATAGACTATCATCGTGTATCAATGAGAGATATACTCTATCATCGTGTATCAACGGGAGATATAGACTATCATCGTGTATCAACGGGAGATATAGACTATCATCGTGTATCAACGGGAGATATAGACTATCATCGTGTACCAACGGGAGATATAGACTCTCATCGTGTATCAACGGGAGATATAGACTATCATCGTGTATCAACGGGAGATATAAACTATCATCGTGTATCAACGGGAGATATAGACTATCATCGTGTATCAACGGGAGATATAGACTCTCATCGTGTATCAACGGAAGATGTAGACTCTCATCGTGTGTTATCGTGAGAGGTAGACTTTTATCATGTATCATCGAGAACTTTCTACTCTCATCTTGTGTCAACGCGGGACTCATCTACATAATAAGGAGGAATAGTCATTTTTAGCCATTTTTATATTGTTACATTTGTAGTAGATGAAGGTACATCATCAAAATGCTTCAATAATATCGCCATTGCTCGACGCGATTCGTGTCAAACTGTTTAATGGCTGTTTTTTGCATGAAAACACATGTTCATTGGAATATATACCATTTCAAAACGTTAAGTTTTGGTTGCATTAAACGATTTTTCCAAATAGATACATCCATTGCAATATACCAACATAATCTTTCTTACCTACAAGTTCATTGAATGTTATAACGTTTTGTTGTAGATTAATAGAATCTTTCACCCCCTTGGGGGTGAGACAGGGTAATCCTAACCCGAGGGGTAAGATTCTTAAGTTGTCAAACAGGAGGCTTGCCGAGTGTTTGACAGCTTAAGAATCTTACCCCAAAGGTTGAGATCACCCTGTCTCACTCCAAAGGGGATGAGTGATTATTTTTCTCTTCCCTGTTTACCGTTGTATTTTACATAGACGTTACATCAATGCAAGACAATGTTGATGTGATGCGGCTGAATTGTCGACGTGACGTCATTGTATTGTTGCCGTGACGTCATGGTATTGTTGCTATGACGTCATACAATTGTTGAGAACGTGCAAAGAACTCGTGTAGCTTGTCTCAACCCTAGGGTGAGATAAGAAAATCTCGCACCGGTAAAATGGTGGATATCCCTGTCCAGGGTAAGAGAAAAAAATTGTTCTCTATAATTGTACTTTTATGTTTTGAAAACAATACTTCTGCTAGGTCAGTATTGTGCTGTTCCCATGATCATCATGATAGTATAAATTACTATGATTAATTTCCCCCGACAGATTCGAAACAGACAGCCTGCAGACATCAAACCGGCCATTCGACGACTAGAAAGTTCCCTGAAAACCGAAGGAGCCTACAAAAATGTCAAAGCTGGATTCGAAGGGATAAAGTTAGAAATCACAGAGGTATGTTATTGTTTATATCATGCAATCTTCACTTAATTATTACTATATATATTGTACTTTCGTATTTTAATATACAGATATAAATTATCTCTTATATAGATTCTTCTGGCAAACTTTGTTTGTGTAGGCAATGCAGACAGTTTTAGTGAGTTAAAGCTGACTTTGCATGCGTATTAATTTGCTGAATAGAGAATCTCAACACACGACGGGCGGTGTTGTTTTTCTTGTTTATCACATATAAAATATCACCAATAGTTTTTTTTATATCTAATGAAATAACCAAATATTTAAAAATTGTGTTAGGTGAATGTGAAAACGAAAACGAAACCCACTATAGGAACTAATGGGAATCGTCACAAAAAGTAAACATTAAATAAGATGTAACACGTATTTTGATTGCATGTTTGTCCATTCAAAATATCACCCGAGATAATTTCAATTATTACGTGTACACATTAACTTTTGTTAAAGAAAACGTCTGCGATTGTGTATTTACGTTGTTTAAAGTTATGTGTTATCAAAATAAGCACAATGAGCTATGTCAAAGTAGTTCAGGTTGTCCCTGTGTACGGGTGCATACAACAATAGAGTCAATTAAACACTCCGTACGATCGTGATATATCGTTTATTAACAGGTTCGGAACTTACATACAGTGTAGCAACATACGTGTACATGGGGCGCATAGTACATTTTTGTTTGTGCTTGTTTAAGGCATATCCCGATCACCACTCAAATTAGGTTTGCATATATATCTCTTCTTTATACACTACAAGATTCTCTTTCACATGAAACCAAACCGAGTTCAATCAGATCCTGTCATTATTAAAAGTGTGGTACACCGCCCTCTCAGGAAAACAAAAATTCAATCTAATGCTATCCAATATCTTTTTTCACGCTAAGGTGATACTTGATTTGACATATAGGTTCATTATTGATGATGAAAAGGCGGACAATAAAAATGATCATGTCAGAGATGTCACGAAATCTATAATAAAATAGATATTCGTTCGCGAATGGAGTCTCGTTAGTCTAGTAGTTCGGGACAAAAATTAAATTATAGGTAGAAAATGGTTATTTTGTCACCAGTGTGATGTTGGATTTCACATATACAAATGTATGTGCGAAGCTTCATACCTGACTGTAAAATAATCTAATTTGCGAATGTAAAAGATTTATACTGTGTCTCGGATTCCATTGAAAACAGCTGATGAAACAGTGTTTTTGCATTATTAAACAGATTAACGTTGCTTCTGTTTGAAGGTTATGGAATTTACCAAATCATCTTCCAGATAAAATATATATTATTGATTTAATCATTATAAGATTCTTTATCATTTGACAAACAGGTGTTTAACATGTGTTGTACCCTTCCAGCAACTACGTTCTCTGCCTCGTGTCTATTCGTATAGCATGGCCTAGACAATAGCATGGTATTGGCATGGAAAGAAATTAAAAAGTGAATGAAAAAAATAAAGATAATAGCATGGTATTAGCATGGTCTCGAATATCTCCGAATCTCGAATGTCGAATATTACGTTTTAGAAGAGTCGATAAACATTTTTGGATCAAGCAATAATATCTCAGTGAAAAAATTAAAAAGATGACAAGTTTTAGATGACACACTTCTAACTGATGCGGTAAAATGAAACTCGTGGTCTCATTCATTACAGTAACAAATAATGCAAAATATGTTATTACCAGACTCATGAAATGGAGATGTCCGACATACGACGTTACGTTATTGTATCATCAGTAACTTCAATGATTAAAAATATTAATTACAATATTATAAATAGAGATATATCAGAATATATACATTTCGAACGTGCATGTTGTCGTGTAAGTACGGAAGCTTATTAGTGTCAATTTATAAAATTAAAAACTTTTTGTTAACGCGGTAAAACGAGATACAAGAAAAACATATTTTTTTCAAATTGACACTTACAGGCTTCCGTGTTTTTAGGTAGCCTGAAAGGTGGTGTTTTCTTTTAATAAGAAACATCATTTTGATGATTCTCTAGTTGATGATAGAACCATTAGCCGTGATTATTCTGTCAATTCTTTGATGCATGTGATGGCCTTCCCTTGATCACTCTGAGACGTTTGCTTTCTGATGAAAGAACAGTTATTAATATTTGATATAAACTCAGACATGAAACATCACAACAGACTCTCAAAAGTAAACATCAGACAGCCGTGCCCGTTTTATCGTACCTCTATATAGAATGGAACCTATAACTCACATAGACATAACAGTGGCTTGCGTGATTGGAGCATTCGTGTCTTTCACATCAGTTTTTAATGGTACAACTAAACAAAAACTACATTAAAGTTTCAATAGGTTTCTCAAACGTTCAAAATAAATAAACACTGCCATGTATCTTAATGACCTAATGTCCTGTGATGCTTTTGACTTTGCTTTTTCGGAAAAAAAAAATTCTTTTATTATTGAACTACAGTTGTGTGACCGCACAATGCACCAAAAATACCGTGCGCACACCGTGTATACATCGTTCACACACCGTCCGCACATCGTCCACACATGTACATGGTGCGCACAACTGGGCGATTTAGCAATCATTTTCCCCGTTGTGCGCTTCTTTCCGCACAACTCTGCGACTAGGTACAATTTGTTGATCAATATTACGGAAGGAAAAAAATTACGGAAGGCTCGTATGCAATTACGTACACTGTATTTATTATTGTAATTTCTCATCACAATAATTAAGATTATTTACAATTTTACAATGCATGTAACACAGTATTACAGTGACAGTTATACTGTCAAGAATTAATGGATTTGGCTCTTAGCTAGGTAACAGAAAAGGTAAATAACAATTTGATGAGTGACCGGAGTTTTACCTGGCCTGTGCCTGATGGGTAGAGCTGATATGTGATACCGTATNGTACAAAGTGGCTATGTTTACCTGTGTTGCCGAGACTTTGTTGTAAGTTTACATGTGTCGATTCTGAATTTAAGAAAGTATAGAAAGAAAGATAAGTTTGTAGATGAAGTTGGCATAGGAAAACATACTAAAAAATCAAGCTTATGTCTTTAAACACTAAACCGTATTTTGTTTAGCCATTCCTCAATTTACACCAACCACGATTGTTATCGCACAACGTTCGTCGATCGTCCGCACAAAAATGCGCAAGCAATGATCGTCCATTTTTTTATCGTTCGCACTTCGTGCACACATCGTTCACACACCGTGCGCACATCGTGCGCACACCGCACATCGTGTAACGTTGTGCGATCCCACAACTGTATAAGATATGTCCTACTTTATGTCTCCTTTATTGAGTTACACCTGTTGGATTTGGTCATTTATAAGATAAACAAAATGATTCAATGATTAACTTCCTTTACCTAGTAGTACAATGTACATTTCACATACCAGTCTAGACTATCGATGGAGTTTACATGTCACAGTACTCAAAATATTAAGTTCAAAGTATTAAATAGAAAGTTTATTGATAGATACGACATGTTGACTAGTAAAGGTCAAGGTTTTCTGCTTTGCGTTTTTCAAACGTTTTGGTGCATTTCTTAGGAAATGTTCACTCTTCTTGTGGACCGCGACTGAATTTTTTCAAGTTTTTTCTTCGGTGATCATGCTGTATTTGCATTTGATTCGATGTTACTTTTTTCTATTTTGTAGTTTTGTATTGACAGTGAGGTATGATCATGTGGTTCTGTAAATTGTCACCGTGTTATGTTTAACATTGAACTACTTTCATGACACACGTTGTCGCTAGATGTTCCCGTTATTACACCGTGACCTTCATAATGCATATTCATGCCATCTAAAAACAGTTTAATTTGGTGTTTTTTATTTTTGACTTCTTCAATTACAGTGGTACATGTTGAATAGTTTAAACTTTCCATTGCACCATGTTCAAAATGTTAGTAGTGACAGAACTTGTCAGCATAAATAACCTCACGGTTTATTATTATTTAATAGCGCAAACGCGACAACGGAAGCATGCTAAAAGGCTCTCTATCCTAAATATAACATTTTTTAAACCAATAGGACTGTGTCAGTGTGTATGAGCTTATCTTAAAACTGGTATGAATAGCAGCTGGGAATCGTAAACGTTAAGGTGATTGGTATGTTATTTGTAATTGTATGTATGATACAGTCCACGTATACGGTGTTCAATAACGCATTCACAAGCTACATATTAAAGTACATCAAATGGCCATGACCTTGGAGGAGCAGTTATAAATCCGTTTGGAGCGTCACACAAATACTGTGAAGAACCACTTTGATCTTCGTTGTATACAATTTGTAGCAAATACGTAGTAGCCAAGATGTCGGGGAGGTTGAGAAGGACGACGTAAACACTTTTTATGACGACTCGTTGACTTGTTTTGTGTTGTGTCGCTGGCAAATAATTGTATATTGCTGAAAATAATTCTGTTTGCTCATTTATTTCAAAGTGCAAAGGAAGTGATGTTTGTTACGTCAACTATTTCTTTTTTAAACTCTAATGTCGATACACAGACGTAAATAAACAACGTAACAATGCACGCCTATTTAAAGTAATATCTTCGTATAAAATGTAACTATATATATCCCTGTTTCCTTATAGAGAAACCATTATGTTCTAGTTGTCCCTTAAACTTATTAAAAATATAAATTTTTCTATTCTCTTATGCATTCTAAAACACTTATTTTAATACGTAAATAATTGTCATTTATGATGCATAACGCCGTTTAATCGATACGCTGTTATAACACGTAGGATTTAGAAATCATGAAAGTCATCGACAACGTGAAGTTTATAAAATCATGTAATATGTCAAATTGCATAATTGAAAAAATCTTCTCCAATGACAGATAATTGTATTAACCACGTAGTGCACTAGTCACCAATACATGCGGCTTGACATTGACTGTTTAAAGTCGCGCGAGCTATGACTTTAAATGCCTTTTAAGTCTATAACAGACATCGTTCACGAACATGTACCACCACTTTTATATTAATAATCTGCATCATAATGAATACCGTCGAGAGGGAAAGGGTGTTCAAAGAGATATTCCTTATTGTTTTAACTTAATGCTTACTTTACTGCATTGATGTTGTGGTCGTAGGTCGTGGACCGATCTGAGTATGTCACAGACAAACCACCAACAATCCTGACATCACCAACAAAGGTTCCAGTTAAAACACGAGATTCGCCACAAGCAAGTAAGAAACCTACTCCAAGGGCGACAACTGTGACGCTGTCCCACCAGAGAGACCGTGGCAAGCGCCAGGCTATGCCTGGAATACAGCGACCAGTTATCAAGGAGGAGCCCATCAGTCTGTCCCCTCGGACCACACAAACCAAAACACCAGCATTGGAACAGTAAGTCAAAGATATAAATACAGATACAGTACATCGAGACATTATATATAATCATAAAGGTTTTTATATCTTACAATAATATTATGAATGATAAAATTCGGCTTTACATGAACACAATAGATAAAACAAACACATCCCCTCGATTGACCTTAGATACTCATCCAGAACACTTGATTTCATAGTTAGTTTTGTTTGAGGATGTTACAGTAGTGATAAGTGTCTTTAGTATATATTTCTTTTTAATGTGACTAGCAACAGTACATAGTTGATATATAAGGCAGGTGTACAGGTATAATTACCATGACAACTTTATTTACACCGCTATAAAAACTGAGTACACTTATCATTACAACTTTAAAATCGAAGTGCAATTACCATGACAACTGTACATCTAAAGACTGAATTTATTCTTATTATGTTACAGAAAGGACAAGGATGGAAACGTGCTGTACCATCAGGACATCCTATCCCTTAACAAGACGATTTCTAAATTGTTCAATCATCTTGCAATCGATAAACCGGGGACGACGGACCCACCCGCGGCCAAAGGTCAACAACCTGCAAAGGGTCAACAGAAAATGACACCATCTAGTCAGAATATTTCAGTTGCGGGGAAAGTGCTAAAACCAAGTTCTAAACGTGACGTAGAGGATATACAAGAACTTATTAACAAACTCAAACTTTTTGAACAGGAACTGCAACGAAAACGGACGCAGGAACACGAGGAAATACAGGCGTAAGATTTATCTTATCTCACAATGAACACTTTGTGTTTAATATCGTGCTTAATGTTTTCCTGAAGGTATATTTGGAATTAAGCAATTTAGCTTTAATTTAGTTTGTTTTAAAGAAACCTTGTCAAAATATAACGGGCCAGACCGAGATTAAAACCCTGTTCCTCCGATAATAATACAGTCACTACAACCAATTCACCCGTTATCGGTATTTCCCCAGCCAAATTCTTCTACAGTAATGTCAAAACCAAATAAGATTTAATAAAAGTGAAATTCTCTATTGGTTTGCATGCAATGGGATATATATCCTTAAAGTTAGAGTTTATTTGCACTTTGAGGAAAGTGAAGTATCACGCTGTCGTCGTATCAGTGATGATTAATTAGAAGAATCATATAGAGGATAGAATTACTTTTAACATATATCGATCGTTTGAGGCATGTTTACAAAATTTAACAATATCATCATTCTCAAATACCAGAAAATCTTCTTAATATTACTACAAATTTAGAAACATGCATACAGAAATAGAATAAGCATTTTCTTTTTATATTTGGTTCGAAATAATTAGCCTTCAGTCAGAGCTGCAGAAATTGAAATCTCAACTCAAAGAACAAAACGGACAACTACAGCGGTATGTGTCACATCTAATCCATGTTTTAAACACGTTTAGCTCACTTTGATTTCTTTATACAGTATTAATTTTTTCTGCATTAAAGAAAATTCCACATAATTTATAGCTGAATATTCATTATCATGAACTGCAAAATTGATTTGAAAAGTACACATGTTTTTATCAAAAATTTAATCATTATTCATAATTTTTAAACATGTGATTTCATTGAACACGTTAACAACCTTTCATTTATAATTTTATGATTATTATTATAGCATTCGAGGAACACACATGATAGCTAACAAGGCAAAGGGCAAACACGTTGAGCTGTTGGAGGAACGGTAAATATTGATATTAGTTCGCATTACATAAGCCTCTTTCCATGAGTGATTTACTTCGTCTTTCTAAATACAATACCATGTAGTGCCATTAGAATATGGCAGAATACACATCGAAGTAATATACTCTTTATTTTAAGGTACTCTTGTTATATTTCATCAGGCATTTGACTGAAAAGAAGGACATAGAAGAGAAACTCCATGAACTTGAGAAAAATATAAAACGAAACCTCGAAGTGTAAGTATGTGTATGAACTGAAGTTTGTCTTAACGTTTAGGCTAAACGTCAAGGGCGTAGCTAGGCCTCTATTAACGTGGATTCATAACTGTGCTAGGGGGGTCCGGGGGCCTGGCCCCCTGGACATTTTTAAAAACAATGGTGCAATCTGGTGCATTCTGGGCATTCTGAGGTGCTTTATTTAGTACTCGAAAATGGAAAGTTTTAGGATCTTAAATCAACAAATAAACCCTTTACTCGGCATATTTTTTCTCTTAAATAGAGCTAAAATAGCAAACAAATACGAGCCCCGATTATGTTAATAATACCCAGATTATCTAACAGAAGTATAATTTTCTGTCCTTTTTGCCAGCGAACTCACTGTATTATTATATTTTCAATGTCAATGTCCATTTGTCTAACTATGCAACATTGCTCGTCCAGACAGACGTTCAGTGGACATAGTGGAACTCATGTAGTTTTTCACCCTTCTCATGATACTGAACTGCCTCTCAGTTGAGAGTGTTGAGACCGGCATGATAATAAGCCACACTACCAGACTTATGTAAATGTTGCACTAAGGTCAGAAGGCTTTGTTTCTTCCAAAGACCGGGCAACTTTCGAATTCACGTCTGAAGCTTTCACGATCTCCACTAAAGTCGTCATGAAATGCATCAAATATGTCATCTTCTTGAGCAGGTGTCTTCAATGGCTATTTAGTATAGAAACGACAAGGAACGTTTGATATAAGCATGCAGTCAAGTACGCATAAGGCAACTTTAGCTGAATTGTTGTTTGTTTGTCAGAATCATGTGGATTCAACTGCGTACTCGCGTATAGGCAGCTACGCGCCTGAACGTTATCATAACGACATATAGATAGTATTAATATAATGATTGTGTAAACATTAGACATATTTATTAGATTTCATTCTTATGTCACAGGTGATGTGTTGTCAATGTTTGAGTGATGGATAATAACACGACATCACTTCATTTAAACGAGATGTTGCACATTGTAGGTGAAAAATAGAATTATAACATACAGGCGTAACGTGATGCACTGTAGATAAACAAATACACTGTTATCATATTTTTGATGGTTCGTATAAATTTCATTTTTTAAATTTTATGATGATATCTGTCGTTCATCAACAACACAGGACGAGAGAAAATGATCAAATTGAGGAGACCAAACAGGACCTGTTTAAACTGAAAATAGAAATCGAGAAGCTACACAGACTAGCTGATCCTACTGCGGCAACAAACGACGATCTGATCACCCGGAAAGGTCGGACAAGGTTAAAAATGACTGACGAAGACTACGATATCAGCGATATATTACATAAAATGGCTGTCGTTCGCAACGAAATGCAAGGATTAAAGGATTCCAAAGTGGCGCTTCAAAGGTAGTCTGAACCGATATATATTGTTATGAAACGAAATACAACAACTTTCTGACAATTCAAGCATAACTGATTGGAGGTTCCTTTCATTCAAATAGTTTTCAAAGATTATTTTCCTATTCTTTTGGTAAAGCAAAGCTGTAAGAAGAAAACAATTTTAAGTTTAAAGATATATCGAATAAGCATGTGTCTGATATGATAAAATATTTATTATTTTGAAGGCATGTGAAGGAGCTGGATGGTCGGGATTCGAGTTTTGGAGAAATTGAAAAAGAGTTAGAGACATTTTATACCGATGCAATATCCGATTTATCAGCGATGGACAGAGAATCTAACCTAAATGGCGGAAATGAAAACTTACGTAGAAAATATACACAGGAACCGAGTTCCAGCTCAGCATCACCAAAAACGAAAATGAGGAAACTGCATACCCTATATTTAAATAAGAGGAAGAAGTTAGAAGATGCTGACAAGTATGTATCTTTTACATTAACTTTTGCTACAACACAACACACCTTATTCGCATAAACACAGTGCATATGCTTTACTCAAGCGTCATGTTAATTATCGGAACGTGATTTAAAAACGTGATTTTTGAACACTATATAATGCATTTTAAATAGTTGATATCCTTTTTATTATTATGAGCTTACACAAAGTGCATTGTATCTTTGAATAATTTATTGGTCCGAAACTGGTTAAGGTCATATACGAAATGTGACTGTTAAACAGTTGTTTTAATCTTGCGTACATGTGTGTATAGATATAATGAAAATATTCGTTAACATTCTGTAATCCGTTTTATAAATTTGTATTTTGTAGACTGATAAGAATTTTCTTTTAATATTTATACCAATTCGATGCATTATTTGATGCCTTTGTCTATCACATCCAACAAATCACAAAGCTTACAACTTATATCAGCAATTGCCTTTGTATAGTCTATTTATTTCTATTTGTTTGTTTAGCTTTGAAAAGAACAATAGATATACATGATTGATAATAAGGGTGAATGTGTTGAAAATTGACCTGGTCTCCATGAAAATCTTTCCTTTGTTGTATTTTGCCCTAGTTTTATCAATTTTGAGATCGAATTATGGTTTTGTTGACACTTCGGTACTCCCTTGTTGACTTTTGTTAAAAAAATATGTTTGAAGCGGACTCAACTTCTTTTGAATTCTGACATATAAGCGAATAGAATAATTAGCGTATTAGAATTCGCAATAGAAAGCCTCATATTCAGAAACTTAAAAAAAACGCCAAAATTGGAATACCGCTTAAATATGTACGTTTACAGTGTATGAATGGTTTAGTTTAACGTACAGATAGGTTCCTGCTTAACGTTGGTAATATCTCACTATTTACAAGATAACTGCTCGAATGATATAATGCAGCAACTTAAATCTGATGCGCAATCGATGAATATATTGCCATTTAATTAAATCAACATTTATTTACATGTTTTTTTATAAGTAGACTCATCCTCTAGCCGCTTAGGTACATGTAAGTTATCCCCCGAGGCCACGCTTCTGCTTTCAAAATGTGGATATTGAGTATTGTATCATATCACAAGGCAAATTGCCTTTGTCAATATACTGTATATCTTGACATTTTCACCGGAGTTTAACCTTTACCTTTCGCCCTCCTTATAGAGGGCGTATATATATCATGGCACAGTTATTACATGTCAATTGCCATATTAACACTAGGCGAATGTAGATTTATGGCAAAGAGCGAAAATTTGACTGTGCGGAAGTTACCCCTAATACAGAAGTTGGTTACTGACACTTGAAATCAACGGGCATTCATCTCTAAAATATTACTCATACATACCCATTTATTCGCAGGTAAAAGCATGTACAATATACAATACAGAAGGGATCCAAATCTGTGTGTTAACAAATGCTGATTTCAATAGGATAAGAAGACATTTAACTTACCAGTTTGCCAAAGGTTCGGTTTTAACAAACATTGATATATTCATTAATGTACGTTGTAGATCGCTTCGACAGTCACACCAGGAATTTGACCTGACCAAAGCTCGCCTTGTTAAACTTATAGACTCTGTTGACAAAGTGTACAGTGACGCATCCCTCGACACCAGCACACAGCCTTCCTCACAGAGAAACCGCAACAGGGTGGGACTGGAGTTATCGTCCTTGTCTGACAGATCAGAACAAGATGATGAGTCCAAAGTGTATGACCTCGCGATGATGCGAGTCAGTGAGCTTGCCGTGTGGACGAAAAAATATGATAGGTTTGGATTTTTTATACATATCTACAATGCAAGAACAAAATGTATAATATTAATAATCTTGTATTCTGATTAAATTGTGACGCCATTTTATACAAATTTAGTAATACAAGTATTTTTTGATATTTCTCTCTTGACGTTTTGAAGTTAAATGTTATAAGTCTGAATATCTCTTTGAGTTATTGCCCTTTGGTTGTTGTAGAGAGCATTTACAATTATTTATTTCAGGCTTAACATATCGTAGTAAAATATTTTTCTTCTGCTCTTATCTAGCATGTTACAGCAAAATGACAAAGGTATGAAGGATTACAAAAATGATTTGAAAGTTTTACAAAGACACGTGGATCGCCTTCACGAAGAAGTAGCGTCCACTGCTACGAGAAGTTTGTCAGACCTGAATGCGACAGAGTCAGCCGACGTAAACGCTGTTTCGGAATCGAACCAGGACATAGTGAGGAAGCTCATCCAAGTTGAAAAGGAAATGAGATTCGCATTAGATGAGCATATTAAACTGAAAGGGTAAGACTAATACCTGTTTGTATGGGAAACCAGAAGCATGTTTCTCTATCACTCCCTTTCAGCACTCCGTAACGGGGTTATGTAGCTTAAAATATAATTAATAGATATCTATTACACAATTCCTTCCGATTTATTTATCAGAGGCAGGTATACCTATTCATAACACAATTGCTTTTATCATAATTTACACAGTAATTACTTACTATCAGATTCCCGAACATGTTATGTGATTTTTACCTCTCTTAATTAACTATTCTTATTGTAAACTGTTAATGCTATGAAACCATTTAATGTTCAGTCATAGAATGTGATAGACATCATTAAATCATTGCTTACACCGTATTCTTTTCTAATTTAATATTTATATTAAAAAAATCATCTGTTATATACTTTTTTTTAGCAAACTCAGGGAGTTCCAGAACACCGACAATGTTTTGGCTGATGTTGTCATGGAAACTGAGGAGCTTTGTCGTCACCTTCAGGTCGACATAAAGGACAGCGGCGATGCTGGTGCTAAAGTGAAAACAAATCTTACCGAATGCCGCATGGCTCTCCGGAAACTAAAAGAGCAAGAAGTGGAAAAATTAAGGTATGGAAATTTATTTATCTATTTGTTTTAAACTAAAAGATATCTGCACTTTATATTGTTTTCCACGCATTTGTCTATTAATAAGATTTAAAACTTGATATTCTAATAAGTGTTTAACTAATGTCATTTGTAAATAAAAATACAAGTGAGTATTAATGTAACAGCGATAAACACTGTAGTCGTCTTAAACAAACCGTGTTGCTATGAAATAACCTTTAACACAAAAGAAGAAACATATTGTTTTGTGCTCCGTCTTCATGCAGAGGTATTGAAGAAGTGACATAGTTTGCACTATTTAACAAACCGTATTGCCTTTTTGTATTATATGTACTATAGCACCCTCTATTTTAATAATCATAATACATTATATGTCTAATCAAAGCTTGCTTTTTATGAAATCACCTTCTATTTGAGATCATCCGTTTTGTCTTTTAATTGTATTGTGCTTTTCTTGCCTGTGTTGTGGTTTCATATTCAAACGTGAGTCTATACCACGGGTGATTGGTATGATTGAAAAGATACAAGATGCTTTTTTAAAGATAATTTCTTTGTTCTTTAAATAATGCCGTTTGTCTGTCTTTGACACGTTTGATTTTTTGAATCTTATCTAAATCGTTAGCGTTAATATTATTTATATAAAAACAAAATTGTTGTTAACTTATCTGGGATATTTAAATAGCATAATGCCATAGTCAAAAGTTATTTTGATAAGTCATGTTCAACAAATCTATTCATGCGAAAGTAATATATTGCTAATCAAACTAATATAGAGCTAATTATATTGAACCTTTTTGAACGCACTGTTGTACTAACCCGTCAACCGAATTCCCAGGGATGTAGAGGAATTACGCAAAGACTCCAATAAGCTTATGGCGGAAGTCCATAAGTTATATCTATTCACGGATTACGGCGTCGAATCTCTGGAATCACATGAAGACAGGGAAACGGATTCAACAGATAAAAGAAATGTCAGTAAATTCCACGATGCCACAAAGCAGCTCGTTGCCATTCATGAGCGATTCACTGTTATACGTAGCATGAAGGCTGCACTACAAATGTGAGTGGATATAGGGAAGATAGCTTGATCAAATCAATCGTCATAACCATCGGGGTAGATTCTTACTGCACTGTGCCGTTCATTTTAAAGTTCTGCTTAACCACACTGTTACGCACTTTTATAGATGTTGTCTTCCCAAGTACGTCCTTTCTTTATATGATAACCCACTGTTCGTTATCATTCTAATTGCGATATTTTGTATCTAAGTGTATGTTTTGCAATGCTTGTAACACAACATTAACATAGTTAGTAGAAATACTGTTTGCCATAATCTAACATGCCTAAAATAGAATGTGTTCTTCTTTTCTTGTGAACATTACGTCTAGTTGATTAGATGTTAAGTTTTTTGTACAAAGGGTATTCCAGCCAGTAATGTTTCCACCCATTGACACCCAATCGTAGACACCATGTACATGTGTATGCACCAATATTAACAGTTGGATTAATACAGTTTATGTCCCTTTAGTTACTAAAAGTAGTGTAAAATATGTTCATCATTCTGCATATACCAAATATGCATCATTATTGAACATAAATACATTATATCTCAAGACAAATGGCTACCGATTGCACTTACTCTATTCTGCATATATAATATACTATACTGCAGTGCTCTCAATGACTTGGAGAAACATGCCTCATCATCTCAGTCCGATGCTAAGGACCAAATGATGAAGCTGAATATGAAGATCACAGTCCGAGAACAGGAACTGAAGGACCAACACTCAGAGGTCAACAGGTAATACGTTATTAGTATCCATCTTCAGTAAATCCCTTATCTGAAGTCTGTATCTCTATTAATGAAAACGTAGAACTATCATTATAGAATAATGTATTGTGTGATATTACATTCATTTGCAAATTCAAATTCACTACCACACTGGTGTGGTGTCTGGGTAGTAAATTGCAGCAAACATATGTTGCCCAGATATAAATTCAATGTACATAAAGGTTTTCCCCCAACGAATAGTGGTGGGTTATTATGTTTATCTAATTCGAGTTCGTTAATTTTCAAATTTTATTAACACACGAGGTTTACAGATTGTCTTTTACAATTTGTAAATAAGCAAACGAGAGGTAGATACATTTGCTACCTAACCATCATACTTAGCCAAAGAACCGTCCGGTAAATATGTTGACTGAAATATTAGAATCTACCTGCAATAATATTGATTAGTCTAATAATAGAACGCCTGAGGTACAGCGTATAGACACACACCTTGTTGCGTATTGTTAAAACAATCGAATTTTAAAGCTAAACCATGTGATTTACACAAATCAATATTTGAATAGAGTTCATTTAAATAGGAACTATATTCATTTTAACCTGTAATTAAACATCTTACTCCTTACATCTACAAGGTTACGTGATGAAGCCAAGCACGACAAGACGGAGATATCCCGTCTTCAACTCGAAGTGAATGACCGCTTTAAATCGACACTGACAGTATCAGATGAGGAAAAGGTCTATCTGAGAAACAAGATCGATGATGTACAGAGAAGGCTGGATATTGCAGAGAAAAATCTAAACGAGGCGATGAAGGAAAAGTACAACCTGTTGACGAGGTATGTTTCGTCCTTGTTTTTGTTTGTATATTTGTTTTTGTTTGTTTTTGTTTGATTGTTGTTGGGGCTTTTTGTTGTTTTTTGCGTTGTTGAAAAAAGGGAGGAGGGGCAAAGTGTCAAACAAATCGGTATTACCAGCTGTCAATGACACATTGGGAACTGTTTTCAAGTTTTGTTCACATTCTAAGCTCAAATAGGTATAGTATCGCTTATATTAGAATTATTAGTTATGCATTACGGTCATTATACCTTCACATTACAGATTGAGTGTTATGGCCGGCGCAAGACTGACTGATGATAATCCAGCCATATTTGACCTCAGTGACCCGTACAGACCAACTAAACTGGCGGAAATGTTTTCTAGATTGTATGATGATGAATGGACAAATGCCTACGAAACCCTGATGAACCAGTTTTCCCTGGAGGAGACGGAGGCGATACAGCAACTGCTCTCTGTCGTTATGGTAATTGGATAATCATTTATATGCATGTTTGGTTTATTTGTTTGTTTGAAGTTTTACTTCGCAACAGCGTTAATGTTGTGATCATCACAGAGACACCGTGGGAACTTAAAAAGTAGATAGGAGAATAAAATATTCAAAATGCTAAGTGAAAGAGAGAGTGTCTCTCTGGTGCTCTCCTTTAGTCCATCAACCCTTAGCAAAGAATACATAAGGGGGGAACCAAGGGAAATCGTTTAAATATTTATAACATTTCCAACTTTGTAGACTATCTGAGGCACTTTCTGTAGTATTTCATTTATCACGCAATGGTTGTTTCAATGTTTCGAACTTTAACAACAGAATAGTAATCGCTTCCTTTATTCCAGGGGAGTTTCACGTTCTGTGATGTGACTGCTCGGAGCCAGATGATAGATGTCCATAAGGTTTTATTTATGCTGCATCAATCTGAGACTTCCAAAACCGTGAGTTTGTCAATAATGTTGGGGTTTTTTTTCTCTTTTTTCTGATATTTCTAAACAACATTTAAAATCAATCAAGTTATTTTCTTTTTAAAGGCAAACAAAATTTCGATTGGCTTTCTTTCTTTGTCGGTCAGCTATGCAAAGTTTGATTGATTACCTAAAAATAGCTTCAAGAACTGAAAATTCAATCTTGTATTTTACCTGAAATGTTTAGAAAGTGGAGGAAAAGACACAACAGCTGTCTGCAGAGGACCGGAAACAGATCAGAGACCTCCGAAAGTGGTGCGCTCCACAGGCGACTGACACTGTTGTCCAGGTAAAGTGTGCGAAAATATTTTTGAAATCATTTACATCCCATTATGTTAAGCAAACTAATATTAAGAAGAGTGAAAACAGACAATATCGCCAATCTTTCAAATATTATGGGGAGTTCTCTAGTCTTCTTGTGGAGGCTTTTTTCTTTAATAAATGTCCTTTCCTATCAGAACATGATTGGCTGAATTGCTTCCTTATTTGTAACGGAAGACAGCGAGCAATGATACGGGAAGAAAATAACTGTCTTTTTTTCCTTTTTTCTTTTGCAGCTTTATATTAAAGACGCCACAGATATGAAATGGACAAAAGAACAAATAGATGCTTGTGAGCCTTACATCAACAAGTGTGTTTCATTGTGCTGGCTAATGAACGTTCAAAGCCCCCCTGTTTACATGTCACGTGATGTTGAATCCGGGGATCCGTTTGACGAAACAAAGCACAAACACTACACGCGGAAGGGCACAGTGGTGGACTTTTTGGTGTGGCCGACACTTCAACTAACAAAAGAGGGTGCGGTTTTACGTAAGGGCGTCGTACAGACTAGACGCCAAAATGAGTAGACATTTTACGGGAGTTCGTATTTTCGTATGATGAGATTAAAGAAACCCTACACGTAACGGTGTACCAATAATATAGTGCCATGTCAATGTTAATCAATTACATGTACCTATGCACATGAATGTCGACTCATATTCATAAACTACATAAATACTCAACGATAAGAAAATGTCCTGAATCTCTTAGTGTGAATGTTAACTATAAACTACGCAACGGTCATTTGCTAGTAAAGGACGCTCGTTGCGTGCAAATAGCGAGTAAATGTATACCGATACCATCCATAATATATAGCCTACATCATCAACAGTATATAAAACTACATACAAGTTACATAAATTGCTTACTTCACTTATTATACTATTAAAGGCTTGACGATGGATGTCTACCCATGTAAAACATCAAAAACGTTTACTACCATTATTTGCAACGATATTTCAATGATTGTTGAATTTTAACCACATTGGTGCATTAGATATGATTTATAAAAAGCATGCTTCTATTTAAGAAAGACTTCCTTTTCCTTCATTAATGGAAAACTTTCATATTTTGTAACAATTCGTAATAAATCTGCTATCCTGACCACTATCTCAGACGCCATCCTTTTATAACCCCAAAAATAGCTTCTGTACAAAAATCAACACACACGGTCAATGAATACCAGCACAAAAGAAACTGCACAAAGGAATACTAATTGTGGTATTTAGGAAGACAACACTATGGACTTATAACCTCTGAGGCAATGCATCAAATAGCTGTATGTTATATATATAGAAATATTTACCATTGCATAGTAATGCCACCATATAACTCTACCTAATTCAGAAAACAATCGTATCAACCTTGAATTTAATTACCCCGGTTTTTGTTTTCGGTTGAGTTGCTCCTGCTATCAGACATTGAATAACAACGGTTAATTTGAATCATAGCAATAAATAAATTCACCAAACATTATTGAAAAACAGTAAATGGTCAATATAAGTAAAATTGGGTGATTTAAAAAAAAAAGCAATAAAGAAAACGCTTACGCAAAAAGATGACATTTTTTAGTTGAAATTATTTATTACTGTGGGAAATTTACGGTTGACTATCACACGAAACAAAAATATCCACGCAAAATTGTGTTGAACCAAAATAGACCAGTGTACATCGTTTTTATTAATTTGCTTTTCTCTTAATGCCTCTGGGCTTATTTGTAATTCATGTGTGGTGCTTACAGATTCAATCTACTTCACTACTTACTACGATTTGGTGGAAACCTTCACAGCATGCGTAGCTTGTTTAAACACTTAATTATAATATATATAGTCAAATCAAGGCAAAACTCCTTGTCAACATATGATACCATTCCATGCACATGGACACTCGTACATTTTGTTGCAATCGATCAATCATGGGAGCGTCAAAATTGTATCCATATCTTCTTTTCTTTGTTTTAATATGGAGGCTTGCCAGTTCTGCCTGTACCTACAGATAATATTATGGTAGTATAAAGATGTTAGATTGTTGCATATTTAGCATTGTAAATGTTCCATTGCCTATACAATAGTGCATATGTCAGGCATATTTTACATATGTCTAGCATATGTGTACTGCATAAAGCATTGTTATATTCAGACATGCCAAACACAAGATTTCTTCTGGATGAAATATGCAGTTTAAGCTTGTCACTATCACATTCCGTCCATTCAATACATGTCTTTCATTCTAATAAAGGTTAATGTTTAAACTGCTGATTGTTGTTGTTGTTTCTAAATCGATAACTGACGGTTATGGCTAAAATAAAAATAAATGCTGTTGTAAATTATTCTACAATATCATTATACGAAAATATATACCATTNCACCCCACTCCCCACCCCCCTCTCCAATCCGTTTACATTTAAAAACGATTACCATAAAATACCAATATACCAATTATTACCATAAAGTCTTTGTACGATTTTCTTACGATCAGATACGAATGTTCCATATTTCATATTGCCTAAAAAATATTGATTGCCTGCCAGTAAATTCTTTTCTTATCCCGTTAAATCTGATAATGAAGGATCCTGCTTTCTCTCCGTAAATTTGGTTCGTACTCGGCACACAGCTCTCGCCAGCCCAATTTTCGAGCTGTCAGAGGATGACAACAGAGGAGACGTATTGGTCGCAATGTTTAGTTTACAGCGCCTCTTCCCACTGTCCTGATTCATACCAGTCCATATTTCATGGGAAAAGAAGGTTAGGTCATCGAACGAATGAATGTCTTCAACTCTATTTTCTCTATTAATTGTATTTTTGATAGGTATGCCATTCGCGATGTATGTCAATGACCCTTCACTATTGGCGGTTTTCTAAAGGAGCTTAGCCTGGCTCCAGATATGTCAGATCGAGTTGTTACGGCGTCCTAACACAGTGGTAAAGTGGTTATTGTCTAACAAAGTGATCTATAGTCCTGTTATAGATCCAAACGCACAAGCAGGTTATAGTTATTTGAAAACAGAAATCTTAATAGATGATCGTAGAAACACACAATAAACTCTTTTTTTCAACAACGGGGAGAAGGCATACGAGAAGTATAAAACACAGGCAAGTAAATCCTTTAAAATTACATTAATTACTATTTATGTCCCATATCCTATAAGTTCGTGATGCTGTATTGAATATTGATACCAATAATACTCGTTAAGTAACCTACGATATCAGTATAAACTACGATACAAGTACTCTGTTTCATCCATTTTGAGCCATTTCTCTACCAGCTTTAATATCTTTTGTACAGATAAATACTAAAACTAATGATATTGTCAAGACAAGATTGATAGGTAAGAGATTCGTAATAAAAAACCTTTTTCTGGATATTTACCAATCAAAACAAAATATTAAGTGGAATACAAATAAACCAAATTAAAAAGCCTTGATGACAATCAATCATAACAGTACATTTTTGTAGTATTTCTTGAATTATCTGGTTTTGTAATTCCTGGTCTGCTCTTGGTGTGTAGCCAAGTGTGAAGGGGTGTATACGCTGACAATGAACTGATGTTAACTCAATCAATGAATAGTTGAAGTCGAAAAATCAAAATGATAATTAAACAAAATCAATTAAAAAATTGTATTTATTTAGTAATTTTACATGCAATTCTGACAACGATTCATGACATGATTAGTGCAGAAATAGTATGTGCCCAGTGCTTTGTTTATTTATATATATATATATATATTTAATAACTTCCTAACTTTAACCCTTGTCATACATCTGATACTTCATATTCTAAATCGCTGAGAGCCTTGAGCTCATGCTGTATTTTTACAAGGTCACTTTGTAATTTGATTATGCGCCGACGCCTCTCCCTGGCGATCAAATGTTCAATATTTTGAAGTTTTGATACTGTTTTGCCCTCTCTGTTAGTGTCAACATCAGTCACACGACAAAGGGGGAGATAACTCATATCACCAGTAGATCTGCATGGCTTTATGCTGTTTTCCCGATATTTATCCTTCGACTTACACACCTTAATGCTATTACTTTTCTTATTTTCACAAAAAGCAGTATTTTCAACGGAGCTTTCATCATCAGAGCATGGAGTTATTTTCACTTGAAGATCAAACACATTTGATTTTCGTCGATATTTTTTGCTATCTGGTCTAGAATCGTCCATTCGACTTGCTTTCCTGGTAGTTTGGCACTCCCAGGAACGTTCAAAAATGGTTGAATCTGTATTCCACTTCCTACTCGTCAATGACATGTCTGTATTACAGAAAACTTCATCAGTGTCATCATCAACATCCTGAAAGTAATGTCTCAATGAAAACTCGCTTTTGGACGCATGCGTGTCTCTTGACATTTCCCTAGCTGGGAAACCCCTTTTTCGGGGCGGTGCTCTAAAACTTAAACTTCGTCGTAATTCCGAAAGTTTTTTGGCCGTCGCCGATGCTGCCTCCCGAATACTCATCCTTCTCATGGGTTTGGAATAATTTGGATGAAGCGAGTTCTGTACCGGAAATACAAAATCGTCACCAGAGGTTTCAGAAGAAAGTCCAAAACAAACTTCTCCTCCATCAGATATAGAATTGCATCTGCAAATATACAAAAGAACAGTCAATGTATGATCAATTTCTTAAAAGACACAAATATTTCCGATGTAAATATCTTAACATTCATTTCTTATTTGTATATGTAGTCAATACCATTAGTCGGTACGACTTGACAATATGTTTTCTACAGCACCTTAAACATTATACAATATAGTACACTTATCAATAATATTTGTAGAATTTATTTCGGTCTTAATATGGTTTCTAATATCTATAATTTTATTCAAATAAGAACTCAACATTAACTCTTCTCTTCCATTTGTTTTGAAAACGCATTTGGCTTTTTCTGACATTAAAATTTAAAAGCTAATGTCTCCAGCTTGTTATGCTTGTTTTATAATATACCAATATATGTATAACGGGTTATTATATTTGGAATAACGTGCTTTCTTGTTTTAAATCATATCATTCAATTATTAAGCAATTTAACTTAAGTTAGTTTTGTTTGGTAGGTCATAGTTATTACATATAGTATGTAAATATTCAACGTATAATGACCAATCAAAACAACAACCTCATATAGGTTCTTATGTAAGTTAGCAATACAATGCATTCCCTAACACCAATCAACTCCCCATTCGATAAATATTTAGATAAACTATTTGAATTCTATATAGTAAGACCAATTTCATTATGTTGAAGCGATAGGTCCTACCGAGACTGTTTCTTGTTCCAGCTTATGTGTTTACTTTATATCCGAATACAGAATGCATGACGATTCAGGATTGATTATCAATTTAATAATTGAAAGAAAAAAATATATTGATATGGGCAACACACGAGGACAAACTTCCAATTCAATCTCGATACGAAAAGGCAAACGAAAGCTAGAAAACAAACAAAAACAGAGCTTAGGAAAAACTAAAAAGCGGGGAAAACATCTTTAAAAATATTAGGTAAATAGAAAAACATGTATATTAATCAGTATGTAAAATACACCATTAACACTAATAAGAATGTTGCAACATATACCTTTCTAGTTCCTGTAATCTGCGGCGTCTGATGACAGGTGATGGATCCACGCGAGATTCCGGCAGCAGATGAAGAATTTCATCCGTTAGCTTCGGGAACGGCTGGAGAGGCAGCTCCAACATACGTTCTAGTCTACATATCTCCTGGTCCAACTGTTGTACAATACAATGTATGTTACAATTGTCATACAGAGAGATACAATGTCAGATATACATTATTCTCCTGGGGAAACTACTTTATGTATTTGCCTCTTTAAAATTATGGAAACGTTCAATAAATTACTAAAGTGAAAAGTGAATTTACGTTTAGAATGAAGAATTTTCTGAGAAAGAAAATATTCCGCAAAAACGGACTCTGCGGATTGTGCAGTTTAGTTTTCATGGTTCCTTAATGTCCATAAACTAAATTACATTATCGACAATCTTAAATCATAAAAGATAGTAGTCAGATTTTTTTTTTTTTTTTACTTTGCTCAAAGCATTGCTTACATTATAAACAAAAATCCCAATTCTAGGTAGATATATACACACCACATACGGACTAAATGTGCGTACGTTATTTTTTAGGTTTTTAGTTCATCGGTGGATTATTCCATTAAAGCATTTCAAATCAAGTTCACATACAGCTTCTACGGACAATCTATTTCTTATCAGACTTGTATAGCTGGTTATTTTGGACCATTGGACCATACATGGATAACTCATAGTAAGATGAGCAGTGCTGCGCGTCGTGTTTATACTGCACTTAAAATAGTGACCATATCTGTCCTCTACAGTACCCCTCCACGTACCTCCACGATTTCCCGTTTATATACTCGGTTCTGTACCTCAGCTCTGTAATACAGGTCTCTCTTCTCATCCACCACGAAACGTCTCGTTTTGTCCTCCACAACTATTCCTGATGCTACTACCACCGGGTCGCCCTTACACGTCAATATGGCGTAGATCTATAGATAGAACAACACATAACAGTATGATCAAGTTGGGTTATGAAGTATTCAAAACAAAGCTCATGTACTCTTTACTTATAGCGTTATTTTCAATGTCGTAACGTTGCATTTTTAGAACGATAACTCCGCAGAAATATTTTTAATATATTTACTGTAGCTGTATTTTCAGGACGCAACAATTGTCAAAATTATTACATTCCAGGTTTTCTTGGGTATATCTATAATCAACCTCATTAGAACTCAAATCTGAATGCTATGAACAGAATACGAAACTGTGCTCTGCTAACAGTCCAATTTTACGTCAGTATTGCATTGGAACAGATAAAGCGTGATGTCGAATCTGCCCAAAATTACCACCATCAAATACTGCCGTATATGATATATATTAAATGTGTGTGTCCAATTTGTGACAATTTAGAGTGCTGTGGATTCTACCGGAAGTACCATATGGTATCATTAGTAGTGATTTCGAGGGCATTGTAAATGTAGAATGTTTTCGCCTTACCTTAGGTACGAAGAGCAGACAGAGTGTCACGGAGGTGGACAGGAGGACAAAGGCGGATTCCAGGATGTAGGCCATAGTTGGCTGATCTGAGAGGATGTTCGAGAGCACCACAACGATACTGCTCATCAGCACAACATTGTAAACGTTTAGGCCGATATACTGGGAATCATTCAGCACGGGAATTTTCACGTTGCGCGTTTCCCATGCCATGTATACGCCAAAGACGAGGAGAAGTCCTTTGAAAGCGTAGAAAGCACCAAGCCATTTCTGTATGTGGTTTGAATGACATGTTGAGATCTGGGATATATACCAGACATCTATATCGTTGTCAGAAGGCTGAAACATTAATCGGTATATATTGTCATTGTGCATGATCAATTCTTAATCTGTCCGCAATAATTTGCTGTTATCAACTGAAGCAAGTATCATAAAATCATTGTTTACAATATCAAAGATGGCACTCTTCTAAATGTTTAATGTCGTTGAAATTTGCCCTGTGAACCCTCATTTATCACGAAGACGTTACCAAGGACTTTGGAATGATAAGCGTTTCCTGCACTACATCGAAGTGAACTACTACCGGGACGCCCTTACACGTCAGGTTCACCATCACTTACCCCTACCGTCAGGTTCACCATCGATTTCCCCTACCGTCAGGTTCACGATCACATAACCCTACTGTTAGGTTCGCGAGCACTTACCCCTACTGTCAGGTTCACGATCACTTACCTCTACTGTCAGGTTCACAATCACTTACCCCTTCTGTCAGGTTCACAATCACTTATCCCTACTGCCACTTAATCCTATTGTCAAGTTAACGAAAGGTTCATGACTACTTATCCCCACTGTCATGTTCAGGACTACTTACCCCTACTGTCAGGTTCAGGACTATTTACCCCACTGTCAGATTCACAAACACTTACCCCTACTGTCAGTTTGGCGATCACGTACCCTAATGTCAGGTTCAGGACTACTTACCCCCACTGTCAGGTTCAGGACTACTTACCCCCACTGTCAGGTTGGCGATCTGTCTTTGCATTGGATCCACACAAACCCACACTAGCAGGATAGTAGAGTCGATCACTAGTAGAGCACCGATTATAAACAACAGTTGTTTGTCCTTCAGGAGCTGTTACATATAATACAGATAATTTATAAAGAACATATTATAAAACTACAGTGGTATGTCTATCAGGACTGCAGTATACCACTTCGATTGTAAGTATAGAATAGATTATAAAATGCAGTTGTATGTTCTCTAGGAGCAGTAAGAGTGATTATAACGGATAGAATTTTTGGGAAACAATGAAATACTTACTTCCTATGTGAAACAATAGTATGCATACTTCCAATGAGCATCAATGATACGCGTATTCTAATGACAACCAATGTATTATTATACTGTTTATGATAACCTTGTTATTCCTGCATATATTACCAATTACAAACATTGTAAACAATGCAACGCATAAGCCCAATTGTAAAAGATATAAAATATACAAACAATGACAATATACTATCGATGTCATGGCGCTTCTATTTTACGTAGACCATCCTTGTTTAGTGAATCAATCACCCGTAAAACATATTTTTTGTGAAATGCTCTTCTATGTCACTTTAGTTTTTGTCAGTTTACTATGAAATAACATATATTTGGCGTATCTTGTGGTGCTCGTGCTGAAGACATCAAGCGTAGTTTTACCTTGTTCTTGATGAGACCCCTGTTCACTCGTGTGAAAATTTGATGGACGCGATACGTTTTGGTGAACATTGAGCCGAAAGCCAAGGAAAACCCGGCGGCAAAAAAGAAAGCTCTGGTCTGAAAATTAAAAAAAACACGTATATAATATTGTACTTCTACTGCAGGAGAAACAAGTAAGACAGGGGCTAATTAACGATGGACATGCATTATTCATGATGATATTTTTTTACTACTTGTGTAGGTGGTAATATTATAGCAATTGCTTATATGGTTGTATCAGATGACATAAGCAATGAATGTTCTTCTAGCGAAGCTATTTATTTAATTGCTTTCTGTTTTGTATGTTGTAGAAAGTGGATGTTGAGAAATTACGATTGTTCGAAAATACAATAACATACTGTACAAAAGAGTGGGTACTGCTCTTCTTTGATTCTACGGTCGTCAAATCCCAGAAGCATGACCCCGCCATACACCAAGATACAGCCCCCTACCGCCACATTGTTTAGTGTGGGGCTTGACAATTTTATGTACCTGACAACAAATCATTACAACAAAGCATCCGTTAACAAATACATGATGTAATTTTCGCCATCCTCTAATTCATATCTGACACCTTACACTAAACGAAATAAATCACATGTGTAAGGAGAGGAGCACAACTGATAATGTCTCCTGTTCTCGGATCGAACTCTATTTGAATTACCTCTCAATTACTAGTCTACATTGTCTATAAGGCTGTCTATCTGACATTTAACTTGGTGTAATCGATAGTAAGGTTGTCTACTGACGGGTCGTTGCTGAGGACTTGGTATAGGCTACATACTGATATTCCAATATCGTTACTAAGATTATATCAAACAAAAAATGACATACATGTCACTCAAACATCACACTTTGACATCTATGTCAAGAACGGGGTTCAGTCATTAACTTTTCTGATGGACTAATAATACCAAACTATTACACCATTTTGCTCGATGGTTAATGCTTTGTCTGGTTAATAATTACCATATTTGTTTGCTAAAAGTATATGAATTACTCTGATGTGTCTTCATTGTATGTATTCAGTTTATATATATTATGTCTATATCAGTGTTATGGTGTTAATTTGTGTTTTGGGAATGTTATCTATTTAATATTAAATTCCTTGCATCACAGCACCACAATAAAGACGGTAGGACCAATCGTCCGGTAGGTGTGCCCGTAATCACAGTGAAGGAATCTACAGGAGATTTTTTCATTGCCAATATCAGCAAATATTAACTTTTATTCCACTTCATAAAACAAAAATATATTCTATTTACAATTTTACCTCGATTTCCGTTTACAGAGGTTAAAACACAAAAAGCACGTTGCCGCAATAATTCCAACGACACACCAAGAAGTGATGACGTAGAACACACTGTCTTCTATCACTTTCCTATGCATGACGATTAATATTTTGTCCTTGGGTACTTTTCCATCTGAAAGTAATATATACATCGAAACTCACTAATCATAACAATATCTGGGTATGTTCTTCTTATGTTGTATCTCAATTTCTCAATACTTCAAACAAAGAAATGTTTTAGAAATTATATTCATTATTTTGATTTCTATTTTGATTTGTTCACTGCTTGACACTTATCTTATTATAGATTTGTTCTCGATCTGATGACATATACTTTTATTAACATCTCGATCTGATGACATATACTTTTATCAACATCTCGATCTGATGATATATACTTTTATTAACATCTGTTAGCAATATTTAATAAACTCACCTGACCAGTGCACATCAACACAGTCAGGGCACCGGAAGTTTAATATTTCCTTGTCGAACTCGTACATGGCAACAGTCACCATGTGCCCACCTTTATAAAATAGTTATAACAACGTCATGAAATTACATACCATCGGACTACATATAACACCAAAAATGTACTACAATTACATAAAACAGTGCTAGATATTTTGACTACACGATTTGTATTATATATGTCAGTGATTAAATTACTTACGACAGACAAGAAGTAGGTCAAGGGGAAACACACCCTGGCGGTTTAAATGTGCAGCAGTGATGATGCCCCCCGCCTCCCTCCCATCCGCCTGTGGCTATATCCAATCAATATACGAGATTTGATATGTGATGTACTTTATATACTTCATAACATTTAAACGGTAAAAACGACTGCATCATCTTTTCAATCACATTTGAAATATAGTAATTGGAATCCGTATTGTTCCAGTGAGATCATCGCCATTTCACATCAGCGATAATGTCAGTCTCACAGGTTTTCACGCAGTGTAGGTCTATCTGATATCGAAGCCTCCCCTGATTTGTAATCTAGATAAGGACTGTTATTTACCTTGGTTTTGTTTAACCACCGCCAGTCCCCTTCGGTCAGGTCCTTGGAATGAAACAGGTCCCTGTAGATATACAGACCAGAAACAAACTCTGTAATGCTTTGTCATGTAACGACTGCGTACTGTTAACGTTCAGAATACGTACTGGGTGATTAATTAGTTTGTGAACAAAATCGTTGACAATTGATTACTCTGTGATATGCAGTTGCAAAACAAAGGGGAAAACTTTGATAATGGAAATGAAATTGGTGTTAGGGAATTTGCTCTGTTAGAATATTGTATTCATTTAATAAATTCGCTGACATCATTATAAAACTGTTCTTACTGATAAACCATCAAAGGTGAGTCCCTCGACTGTTCTCATCATTTCGGTAACCATGTCGCCGGCATCGCCATAAGGCACAGTATCCAGCAAGTGGTTCGATTTCCTTAAAAGTTTTCGGAGGGTCAAGGCCACTGTCCACACCGTATCATAGGCGCTTGTTGCATAGGGACTCATTGGCGTAGTGCCATTCAACGACAGATAGTCTCTTTGAAAATCATCAAAGGTCTGAAAATTATCATATTAAACATTAAGTATATCGTATTAAGACTTGTTTGGTTAGCGATTCAGATTGTAATCAATGTTGCCCTTAAGGTTGTCGAAATTTCGATCGATACGCGTATTTTTTGTTTTGTTACAACTTAATTAAATAAATATTTTTTAACATATCTTACAAAGTATTTCGGCATGATGTTAATCAAATCAAGGAGTGAAACACAATGAAGACTGATACATAATATTCTGACTGTTTATATCTCTTAAATATCTTTCAAATTGGGGGACAACTCACAATATTTGCTACAGACATTCCCTTTCCATAATTAAATGTATTGAAACTGGCCACTGTAAAGTATCCTTCCGCGACAGAACGTAGATCCTCCTGTGAACAGTCTGTATCGTTAGCCATTGTCCACCATTTTTCTACAAAGTCGCCTATTATCAGCCACACGTATCGGGCACCGTACATTTCCAATCGATGGGCCTGTCAAACAAATAGGCTTTACTGAATAGGAACACACCGTAATGTAAATTAAATCTCAAACCTTGTCTAGAAATGTACTGTTGCATCCGTTAAGTATTTGCTTATAGTACATGTATTTGTGTCAGACGGTCTCAGTATTATTATAACTAGCTGCGTTTAATACTCCGTACAGGACAATGTTACCCTTCACCGAGTTTGTTTGTTGGATTTATACACTGTATTATTTAAGCAATAACAAAAAACGTCTTCATCAGTCATGTTTGAAACTTTACATGTAATAGCTCAGCCCTGGTCATAGGTCGTTTTGCAGAGGTAATTCCTTGACCCAATCGTTTATTTGCAGATGTAATCAATTAACCCGGTTATCGATCGATTATTGGAGGTAATATTTAACCAAGTTATCAGTTGATTTGTGGAAGTAATGAATCAACCTGTTATCGATTGATTTTAAAAGCTAATGACATTTTTCAAACATGTAGATCGACCCGTTCATCGGTCAGGTTGCAATCCACTGACCGGTCGATTTGATAAGTAAAACGCACTCGGGCTATGAACGATTCGTGTGCACGTGGCTATAACCTACATAAGCGATATAAAAACACACGTTTATCGATTAATTTGTAGCGGAAATCAATTGATCTTTTTCTTATTTAAAAATAGCATCAGCTCAAACAGTTTCATTGAAATGTAGTTGCGTGTAGGTTTCAAAACAAATAGTTTTAGGTTTATTATGTAAATAAAGAGAAACATCTACCCAGTAAATGTGCTATTGTAAATATGAACATATACCCTGTCATACATTTACAATCGATATGTAATACAACATTCAACACACAATCAAAATAATGTTAACATAAGCGAGTAGTTTTTCAGACGGCAATACTAGCCTTCTTTAAAGTTGGACAATTACCCGATAAAAGGGCGATTTGTTTAGGTAATGTATATACATGTATGTTAATCATGGGATTTTGTTAAAGTGGATATATAGAGGATATTTAATGGTGTCCTCATGCAGTAAAAACAAACATATTTCACGAGTGAGGCTAATATCTTGATATTTTTACACGAGTGCGCAGCACGAGTGAAAAAAATCAAAATATTAGCCATATGAGTGAAATATATTTGTTATTACTGAAGACACCATTACATTTTCGATTTATTACATTTTTAAACCATAAAACATGAAAAATGTAATGCATTAAAAAAAGTGCGGGAATCAGAGGCGTAATAATAAGCGCCATATTATAATGACGTCACGCATGACAACAAGGCTGCGCGCCATTTTGAATGCTATTTTCTGTTATGATTGCTTATAAAAATGTTAATAATTGTATATTTATGTAAATACTTAAGTGTGTGTACCTAACATTTACAATAACAACCTCTTATTCTACCGTCGCTTCATTTGAATCTGAACAAAAAATCGTTGCCTTTAAATGCAGCGAATAGAAGATACCGTTATGATTGGTCAATACCAAAAAGTGATATTTGTCACAGTGTGAAAGATATCAGTTTTATCAAGTTGATAGAATCCGATATTTCACTGCCAAAAATGTAATAAATAGAGGATATTCAATGGTGTCTTCAGTTATAACAATTATATTTCACGAGTGTGGCTAATATTTTGATATTTTTCACAAGTGGGCAGCACGAGTGAAAAATATCAAAATATTAGCCACACAACATCGACTTCAACATCCGGCTTTTCGTGTCAATAAAACCAAATATTCACCGAAGTAAAAAGTCTGCAATTGTTATACTAAATATGAAATAATGCTATTCTTTTATCATTAAATACAATTGAAACAACAAAAATTGTCAGAAGAACAGTACGAGGATTGTGACGTTTAAACTAAGTGACGTCATAAAGATTTAGCTGCTGTTCCTTAAAATACATAGTCTTCGACCTCCACATGAGTTTGCTTAAATCAATGAGGATGAAGCAAACAAATTGTATTAAATATTAACCCGATAATCTATCCGAAACGTACTCATGATTTGAACTAATCCTGAGTACGGTCAATTAGTGAATAAATAACTAAACCTGAGTATGGTCAATTAGTAAAACAGTAACTAAACCTGAGTATGGTCAATTAGTGAAATAACAACTTATCTTGAGTACGGTCAATTAGTGAACTAATCACTTATCCTGAGTACGATTAATTAGATATATAATTAGTAATCCTGGTTATTGATTGCTTTGCAGATGTGTTGACTAAATCAGTGATTGGTCACTCCGTATAGATAATAACGAACTCCCGGTAGAGTTAATTTGTAGATGTGATAGCGAAACCCTGGTATAGTTAATTTGTATGAATGACAGCGAAACCCTGGTATAGTTAATTTGTATGAATGACAGCGAAACCCTGGTATAATTAATTTGTAT